AGTATTACCAGAGGGAGAGCTAGGTGGTTTGACATGGAAGTACAGTTATCCCTCAAACTAGGGCTTTTAACTACTAGAATTCTCACCAAGCCCTGCTGCATCATACCATTCATTTGCTAAAATAACTTTTTATTTTGTTCTTGTAATTGACAATATTATTCTTCATAATGCTGCTCGTGCATATTTTGTTCCAGCATTTGTTGTCGAAATGCATTCCTCTTTCAACTCAGCAATTACACTCTTGTTTGAGCATCTTCTGCCATCGAAATAAGTGGTTTAGGTAACACCAAAACCAACTCCTTTGACATGACCTAAGACTTCTGGAACATTTAATGCTCTACTAAGGATATCTTCATAACTAAATTGTTATGCTTCTTCTGACCTTTCTTGTGACAAATTTTGCTATTACATAAAATATTAGATTTAGTTTCCCACATAAAATATTAAATTTAAACAATAATTAAATATTAATACTTACACAAGTTTGCCAAACTTGCCTCACAGTTTCATCTTCAATTTTGACCTTTTGAATTTAGTTGTCCTTTAACCCACACTTCATGTCTTGTAAGTTGTTCACAATTTAAATTGTCTTTTTTTATCTACATATTAAAATAATTAACTAAATTCATAAATAACTCAAACATATGTAATAGATGCATGTAATAAGTATCAAATATAAGGTATGTACTTTATCTTGTGCAATGAATGCATATCCTTTCCATCCCCTTCTAAAGCGATATTTTTGGCTTTCCACTAATTGATCGCATCGCTCGCTTTTCAACTGTTAAAATAAAAATTGAATTCATGTTAATTTTATATAAGTAAAACTATATTTAATTGGCCAAATCTAGCATTAATTACCTTAAATTCTTTTGTTGTGTGCACTAGAAAAAATTCATCCTAATCTTCTTGAGATATGATTCCATCATAAAGTTTCGGTGGATGTTCAATGATATTTTGATTATTATCTATTAAATACCACTTGCAAATGTCTGCACAAAATTTCCTAAGAAGAACCATAACTTTTCTGAGGACATATATTCTATGAGTCTCATCAAGCTTAAAACAAGACTAAAAGAAAGATTAAAAATAATTTAGATTTTGGACTCATTATCTTCTCAAGATTAGGCTAAGTTTAGCTTCCCTTTCCGCTTGACTAAAGCTGTCATGACTTAAAAAAATTATCATAAGCCAATTAACCTAATTAGCTAACCTCCCTAGGTCTTAGATTAAAGTTCCTAGTTCAATTAACCAATTGGTGAAGACATTAGCCAAGTGATTCACTCAAAATTCTCTCTCAACAGCCATGGTCAAACACATAAATTGAGCAACCACAAGATTATGTCAAGCTACTCAATAACACAAGCATTAACACCATAAGATTATGCAATATTAACACAAGAAATTCACTAATTGAAAAACACAAGATTATGTGCCAAACAAAGAGTGGCAAAATTCAGTCATGGCTGTCCAAGGAAGAAATAAAATGAAACAATCCTCTCTCTTTACATCAACATCAAATTCAAATTAGAATTTATAAGCTAAGATGATTAAACCCTAGATTAAGGAATCTAACCATCTAGTAAAAAGAGAAGAGGATAGGAAACAAAAGAACTTAGCCAATTTGAAGCTCAAGACTCATCCTCCATCTTCATCTCTCTAGGATTCCACAAAGAAACTTAGCCAATCTTCATCTTCAAGAGCCCTAGTGATTGCTTGTGAAGGCCAAACTCTATAGCTCTTGAATGGTGGAAATGAACTTCAATCCTTGTGAAAATGGAAGGGATGGAACGAAAATGAAGAGAGGAGAGGAATGGTATGAGTTTTGTGGAGGTTTGGTGGCTGAAAATGGAGGTTAGGGTGCTGGAAAATGAAGAACAAAAGAGAGAAAATGAAGAACACTATGAACAAAAGAGAGAGAATAGGAAGATGAATGAGATATGTGTTGGATCCCATTTGGGGCTTAAAATGGCGTGCTCCTTGGTGTCTCCCATCAGCTGAGGCTTAATTAAAATAAGGAAAAAAAAGAAATTAAAATGTAAATGGGAGCCTTGTCACACTTGCAAGGTGGCAACTTCCTATTAGTTTGTAGATGATTCTAATGTGTGCCTAATTTCTCATGTGTCATCCACATCATTTTGGCTGATTTAATCCCTCAAAATAATCATAATTCACGTGCAAACCATCAGCCATTGACCTCAAGGAGTGTTGACCTCAATTGCCCAATTGATGCACAAGTCACATGCCACCTATGTCACATAAATCACATAATTCAATTAAATAGCATATGATATAACAAAATCTAATTCATGTCCAGAATTAAATTCATAATTAGAAGGGAGAATTTATTAAATTAACCAAGTTTCAGGCTGCACAAAATTATATAAAAATTTCTACACAAAGGCAAACCAAAAACTAGGACAAACTAAGACACTTAAGAAAGTGTTAACTTTTTTATTTAATTACTCCCAAACTAAAATGAATTTTAAAAATATAATTTCACCATTCATCAACTGGACATAAAATAAAATTTGTCAATTTTTCTTGTACATTTTCTCAAAAGTTCATTTTTTGGACCAAAATGCCCCTAGTGCACTGAACCTAGAAACTTAGGCAAAGTTCCAAATCTAATGTAATGTGTGCACTTGAAGGTGATAAATCATTAATAAAATGGTCCTAATTGACAAATAAAAGTAGGGTAACAAATGTATTCTATCAAGACCCTAACCCATGAGGATTACCTAAGTCTATTAGATACATTCCTATTCTAATGACAAATTAGTTAAACTAATATTAAGCTACTAATTCTCAATGTCCAATTTGAGTCTCCTATTTCAAAGTTCAACCCAAATCCCAAATCTCATCTAGTGGTAGCCAACCATTAAATAAGAACAAAATATCTCAAGAACGAGTAATCAAAACTTCATTTCTCAACAACTAAATGGTAAATCCAAGGTTATTTACACAAATAGGTTCATAGTCCTCTCAAACAAGAAGATTTAGCTACACATAGCTAAAATGAAAATTGTAACAACATAAGAAAGATTCGAATCTATCAGTATAAAGGAAAAGAAGAAGAGAAAACACTGAAAAAAATGAGGTAGAATGAAGATTTGCTCCACTTCTTCTTGATCCTAAGCTTTAAGACTTCTCCTCTTGCTCTCCTAGGGTTTTCTCTAGTTGCAGTGGTTGAAAGGTGCCTCCTCCAGTCCAGAAAAATAAGTTATGTAGGTTAATTTCGCATAGAAAATGAAACTGTGCGTTTTTATATTTTTGTTTGGTGCCATAGCACTCCTTCAGTGGTGCCATGGCACCAGTGAGCAATTCTAAAAATTTTGACAGTGTACATGAACTTTTGCTTTTGTGTTTTGGACTGAAAAGCACCTTTTCCTTATCTCCTTTCTCTTTGTTGCTTTGATGTTGTCATGTCCTACCTATTCACAATTAATAAATATGAGTAGAATCTTTGTTTACTTCAATTTTCATCATTTTAAACAATTTCCTTAAAAAATATTACAATAAATTCTTTATAAAAGCAAGAAAATGTTTCTCTTTTCCATTGATGACTCCCAAAATATGACCAAAAACATATCCATTATAACACAAAATAGGGAATCATGAACATTGCAACTATCCAATTCATATAGGGATCGATGATCCGATGTAACCTATCATATAACCATATCATATCCCTTTTGTCACGTGATATTTCAGTCAAGTGTGAGATATAAAATTGTCATTCTTCTTTACCTGACCATTACTTTCTCGATCTCTGAGTAGACTGACATAATAATGGAAAAAAAACTTTTCATTATAGTATGGCCATACATTTTCTCAGTCTTACTCATCAAGAGGCCTAGTAATATCTCTCAACTAATGTGAGGGATAAATTTTATCTTGACCACTCATATTCCTCTACATCATTATCACTAAACTCAATTATAGCCTTTATGATCACCTGGTCAAAGGTGACTTTTGACTAAGTCAAAGTTCGATGGTCATCATGTAGGAATCCATAATAATCTAAGGTCAAAGGGCTTAGTAATATAGTTACATATGAGATAAACTTATGACTTATATCATATAGCTTTTTGATAGCAGGTTGGTCCAGTATCTTGTACTCTTTTAAGACTTTGATTTATATCTATATAATTAATCAAAGTTATACTAGTCTTGTTTCATGTATGATCCTTCATAGATAACTGATTGGGGACATTTAAGACAATTACTATAGTTTTTCTAAGGATACAGTTATCATAGTGAACATGCAATTAGTATGATAATAAAAAAAATTCTATAAATAACAATATTTATAGTACAATGATTAGTCTTAGGGCATAATTTCTAATAGACTTAGGGAACGTGTGCTTGTGTATATATTACGTCCCTGTCATGTCAAATTTTGGGGTGTGACAACTCCAAATTTATTACTATATTGACCCAGTATACTTGTGGGAACTGATTAGCAACTTGCTACTTTTTTCACATGAAAATATAAGAATAGACTTGAATTAAAGAATGTGCGCGCGCGCGCGTGTGTGGCATGAGAATAGACTTGAATTAAAGAATGTGTGTGCATGTGTGCGTGTGAGAATAGACTTGAATTAAAGAAGGTGTGTGTGTGAGAGAATAGACATGAATTAAAGAAGGTGAGAATAGACTTGAATTAAAGAAGGGGTAAGAACGCGTGGGTGGAGGATACTAGTAGCCCCAGAGGAAAGAAGGATAAGAAGGAAAATCATTTAACAAGAGTCGATCACATGCAAACTAAAGCAGCTTTAATTGATTGGACTCGTCATACATATATGGGAGCGAAAAATGAAGCAAGCAAGACAGACACTAAACAAGACAGACACTAGCATTCATTCCAGCTAGATGAATACTGCTTATTAATTGAAAGGGAACTTGGGCAAACCAAATTAAAGAAAACAGTAAAAGCTGCATGGACACAAACCACAAAACGAGGGAGGATAGATCATTCAATAATCTCTTGGCCGATCTCACTTGCTCTCAGGGTTGTGATCATTAGGGGTCACAATCCACTTGGAAATCCCAAATATTCCTTTGTTGAGGAGCTGAGGAACAGCACCAAGGAAGATGGGCAGTGGGACGTTAGCCCAGTCCGATGGCAGGACATCACTGTGGCCAGCAAAGATCTTCTCTTTGGGATAAGTTAGTCTGTCGAAGATGGGTTCGAGCTCTTTAAAATTGGAAAAACGACTAGGCTCAGAGTGGGTCTGGTAGACCACAAAGTCAAAAACTGCTTCGTTTTCCTTGTACAGGTCGTCATAGTTATTAGTGAGAGGAGCTGACACAGTGATGGAAGCCTTGGTGATGACTTTTTCCACGTTCTTTAGATCCCATATGACCTTCTTTATTGCCTTGGGAAACTGATTTGCCGCATCAGGTTTGATGTGTTCGTAGTAAACGTCGATGCCATCAAAACCGAAAGTCTGGACGATGTTTTTGAGAGTGTCGGTGGCATTTTTGATCCACGTGGATTCGTCAGAAGAGGTCACAGCAAATGGGAATTCGGGGTCACGCCCTCCGATGCTCAAGAAGAACTTGATGGAGGTGGAAGTCGACTTCCTTTTGATGGCTTTGATAGTCTGGGCATCGAACTTACTTTTATCAAAATACGCCTCAAATTTTCCTGTCGCGTAACGCCGATAAATATCGTAATCTCTGGCGAAGGCCAGAACGATATGCATTTCTTTGTCGAGGCTCGCATATGGGAGATTTTCAACGGAGCTAACAGTGCTGGCGTAAACACGATAGGCGGACAAGTTCGCCATTTTGAATCTCTCTCTCTCTCTCTACGGTGCTGGATATTGGATTGATTGGCTTTTGTTGTGTGTTTGTGTTGATCCGACTTCATTATGTCCTTTATATAGACAAGTTGCATCTAATTTGTTATCCTGACGTCACTTCTCTCTGTCATCAAACATGGCGTCATGTTTCCATCTCTATTAATTATATGCACCATTTTATTAATTTATTTGTACATACGACAGCTTAATCACATTATTTTTCATGACTCTCCATCTATAGGCATTTTTCAATTTCAATATCACTGTTCGCCCATTAGGGGAAAAAATTTAATGCCTTGAAATGGGACCTAAACAAGTATTCTAATTTATACCACCACATAAGTATCTTGTTTGATAAAAAATCGATGCTCGGTGCGTGCGCCACCTAGTAATTAGCATCTAAAATCCGCCAGCCATTGATATTTCTATTTGTATCTTACTATCACCTTTACTTGCATAATTTTTTTTTTTTTATAATGTTTCACATAACTAATTAATAGTTGGGAGTCCGATGAACTAAGACCACGGACTTGCGCCACAATAAAGACTGTTCTTACCCAGGCTCTCCCCTATAATTTCTGTTGTGACAAACACGGAATTAAGGACTGCAATTGTAACCACAATAAAACCCATGCTTAATTTCTCATGAATTTTACACAGAAATTTAAATTCTTCCTTTTTCCAGAAATAAAATAAAATCAAAGAATAACAATAATCATATCAATGACCAATAAATAAAAGTGAAAAGGACACTAAAATCCCTCTGAATTATATAAATGATAATTTCATCCCTCGAAATGCCATAATTCCTATGAAGTCTTTAGGGATTTCTTTGTTGACAACTTTTTTAGTGAAAAAACCATTCTACCCTTACAAAAAATAACAAATCTCATTTACAACTTTTATTTAAAGAACCACAACTTTTGTTCTGTAAATCACGAAAGTTGAAAAAGAAATCACAACTTGTCAATTATAATTTTTATTATTGAAGAATAAGCCCCAATCACAACTTTTTTTTTAAGGAATAACAACTTTTATTTTGTGAATGCAAGAGTTGAATAAAAAATCATAATTTGTAATGTATAATTTCTAATATTAAAAAACAAGTTCTCAAAATAATAAACCACATTCACAACGTTTGTTTAAATAATTACAACTTTTTTCAAAGAATGGTAAGAATTGAACAAGAAATCACAATTTGTCAATAAGGGTAAAATGGTCTTTTCACTAAAAGTTATTGACAAAGAAGTCCCTGGATACTTTATTGGAATTATCATATTTCGAGGGACTATATTGTCATTTGTATAATTTGGAGGGATTTTATTATCATTTTTTCTAAATAATAAAACAATGACATTTGTTTTTTTTCCTCTCTTGATAAGAAATTGGTTCAGTCTAATTGTCCTTCAATTCGTATTCACATTCGTCCCATCTTCATCATTCGTCTTTCTCACCTTCGTACTTCTCGCAAGCATGTTTGCTTCTTCCGTCATCTTCCGATTCGCCGGTCCTTCTTAACCCTCAACGGCATCACTATCGCCTAGTTTATATTTACCCCTCAAGCTATAACAACCTTTGTCTCGGTCAACGTCAACATTATATTTTTTACATATTTTTTTATAAATAGAAGCTTTCTATGGCATATAATTGACATTATCATGATGAACTTAAAAAAAAAAATCATTGCACGCAGCTAACAATTGAATGAACATGACGGTGTCCTTATACGTACCTCAAATGACAAATATAGATGAAAACACATAATAAATAAAGCAATTGAATGGTCATATTTTAATAAGTCCAATATGCCGATAATTAACGATCAGCATTATCAATTTTTTTTTTTAAATGCCTATCTGGTCTCTCAAATCTCAATATTAACGTTGCAAAGTATAAACAGTCGTATGATTTCAATAAAGGATTAGTGCATATACTCATAATTTATATGCATAATAAGTTGGTGAAAATAATAAGAAATTAATAACTAGGGAACATGATTGAGTCATTTAATGGTTTAAATATAATTATTTCACTTTCCTGGCCACAAAGAATAGTATATACTTTCTTGGTGATTAATTCCTTGAAACCATAGATGGCTATGATCAGTAATTATTGTGATGTACCCAATGAAAGCGCGCGATGCTACCACTGGAAGCTGTGGGTTAAAAAATAGAAGATGGCACGCCGCATGCATGATCAAGACATTTTTTTTTATTTTAAAAAAAGCTTAATTAATTATTCAACTTGCAATTTAGCTGCCAATTACCTGACACTTTTTTGCCAAGCATGGTTGTCGTTGATTCACGGGCTTCTCTAATTTTATATGGAAGCCTCAAAACTGTACACTTCTGCGGTAAAATATCTTGCCCCCTGTCGTATATACCAACCAAACTATTAGTATAAATTGGGGAAACAAATCATACTATTTACTATATAATATACGAAAGATCATTGAATTACATCAAAGTTCCTCACAATACAATTAAAAAAATACTACATGATTTATCGACAATTTAACATCACAATATATATGACAACTATTTTAGTGTAAATGCGTAAGGCACAATGTCCTACTACTTTGGGAAGACAAACTCCGTACCAATGAGAACCCCTTAAAAGTATTAATTGTAACATCCGGCATAGTTAATACGCACTTGGCCTCTCTAATTTACCAGAGGTGTTAATTCTGCCCCAGTTTTTTTTTTTTTTATATTTTATCCCCCATTTTGGATTTTGGTTTTTAAATAGGGTTAATGTCTGTTTCTTCCCATAAAACTATTATGATAAAAGTACCCAGCTTCCTAAACTCTTTATCATAGTAACGTCACTTTTAAATAATTAAATCACAGTAATATTGTCCCTAATACTAAACGGGCTTTATTAACCCTCACTAGCGTCATTGCCGCGCGCCACAAGTCCTCCTAATTTATATTTATCCGTCAACCTACAACAACCTTTGTCCCAGTCAACGTCAACGGTATATTTTTTACATATTTTTCCGTGACTGGAAGTCTTTTGTGGCACATAATTAACATTATCTCGGTGAACTTTAAAAAAATTCATTGCACGCAACTAACAATTAAAAAATTTCTATATAGACTCCCAGTACTCAATATAGTGAGTTAAAAAAATATCAAAGTGGAGGTTGTTAAATCTGTGTGTGTAATAAATAAACAGGGGGTATATAATTAAATGAACAAGTGGTCAGCTGATTTGGTCAGAGATTTGGTTTAAACAATACATTATTAAATAATAATAATATATAATTAGTGGGGGCTAGCAAAGCACTCTGGTATCGTTGAAGAAATTAATTGATCAACAGAGCAATTATTTAGAGAAATTCTAGTTAAAGAAGACCCTCCAAGCCTGTGCAGTTTTTAAAAATCAAAACAAAGGATACATATTCACTGATGTTAAAGTGGATAATTTTAATCATAAGCAAATCTGATAAATTTAATTCAAATAACACGAGAAAAGCAAGTCTTGGGTACACAAGGTGGTTGTGGTTGGGGTTTTTTTTTTTGGAGAAGGAGGTGAGGCCAGCTTTTAATAAATTTAATTAAAAAATGGATAACCATGTTATGAAATTGTTATATATAGAATATATAAGATAAAAGAGTGAGAAAATATAATTAATAAGGTAGAGTTTGGGTGGAGGGATTTGGATTTGAAATCCATGTATTTAAATGGTAGTATGAAAAATCAACCCCGATAAGAATGAATTGTAATTATTGCTCCAGCAAGTGTATGGAATCATAGTAATAAATTTTCCTAAGTATTCCAAGTATCAAACCCATAAAGAAGTTTTGCTTTTACTAACTTAAATAATTAAGGTTGGGAAAAATTATGGGAACATAAAGAATAAAAATAAAGCAAGAAAATAATGATGACGAAAACACAATCACTTGAAGATTGGGGTTTACGATTTTATCCTATAGGCTGCTAATTTCTACCTTTTAGTTGACTCTTTAATCAATTACAATGCCATTTTTAATAAGAGCATTGAATTTGTTTCCACGATACCCAATCAACTAATTAAACCGTGACACTATAGTTTAAGTTGCCACAAATTTTTAGAACTATTCCTAGCCGATTTATTTATATCTATTTCTTTAGATATAGGTTCTCTCTTCACCTCATAGTCCAACAATATTATCCATAGACTTGATTAAATCTTGGCTAGTCATAAAATCAATGTGACGAACAAGAGAAATAAATATAATTAAAAAAATAAATATATTTATAAGTATAAATGCACAGAGTCATAATAAAGAAAATAAAAAACTAACTCTACAGTTGTGTACATCCCCACCCCAACTAGGTAAATTAGAAACATATAATAATATCAAATAACACTGTTCCCAAATCTCCTGTCATGAAAAAGAATCACAAAGAAAATTTGGGAGTAGAAAAAAAATAATTATGAAATGTAGAACTGCTCAACAATTTTGTTCTCAGCCTTCAAATGCTTCTATGGGTTCCAAATATCTCAAAAAGAATTTTTGAGAAACTCAAATAATTGATTGGATCTCATCCCTTATAATGGAGATGAGTATTTTTAGTTAAAGTTGAGACTTCTCTCTTCATTCCTAGCCCATGTGGTACTCAAATGTGTGTGTGTAATATTTATTTCCTTGACCTTATTCCATTAAAAATCTGTGGACAATACTTTTGTTGATATTTCTTTACTCAATCTTCAACAATATATATATATATATATATGATATTTGCTTCCTCGTGATATGCTATACAAAAATTTTCTCCTTCCCCTTCTCCCTCCCTCCTTTCCCCCTCCCTCTATATATTCTTTCCTATTCTTTTATTAATTTGATTTATATATTTTTTTTGCAAAATATGAAAAAAATATATGAGTAGATTTTGCACCAAAATTCATTTTTATCTTTATAATTAATTGATAAGAGAAAAAATATAAATATTAATTAAATAAGTATGCAATCTGAATAAATATAACCAAATATAAACCA